GAGGCAAAAGTACCTCTCGGATCGCGACGTGGAATTAGAAATGGGGGAGCTGATCGCCTCGCTGCAGGCGTTCGGCTCGAGAGTGGAGCTGTCGCGGGTGACGGGCGGCAGCGGCGGCCGGGAGGACGTGCGAGCGCCGGCGATTGGCGCGGGGAGTGGCAGTGCGACAGGGAGGCCGCACAAGAAGAACCCCGTGGCTCGCATGGTGGAGGAGTACTTCCAGAGGAAAGGCGGCAAGGCCGTCGAGCGGGACGCAGCTCCGGCGGTGCCGGCGGCCGCCCCGCCGGCCCCGCCCGTGCAACACGGGAAAGCTCTCGGTGACGCGGCGCCCAAAAGTAGAGGGGTGACCGTGTGGAGCCTGCTGCACCGTCCTGGCGCATCACGCAAGAGGACAGCACCGACGTCTCCACCCCCGCCGATGTCTCCACCTCCACCGACGTCTCCACCCCCACCGGCTTCTCCACCCCCACCGGCGTCCTCGACAGCACCGCCGTCCTCGGGGGCACCCCGACAGCCGAACGTGATGAACAGCACGGTGGTGTACCCGTCCATGGGCGCGGGGCCGGAGCCCGCCAAGCAGCTGTACTCGGAGATAGGGCCGTACGTCCGGGACCCGGGCCGTCAGCAGGGGCGGTCCTGGACGAGCTCCACGCTGTCGAGGTACTTCTCGCCGTCGCCCGGTCGCAGCTGGAGCACGGAGCGGTCGCTGCGGAGCACGTCGCGCTCGCCCTGCCTCTCCCCGACCAGGGACTTCCTCTCGCCGTGCAGGAGCGAGGCCATGTCGCCGTCGCTGTCGTCGCAGAGCACGACCGTCTGGCGGCCCGAGGACGACGGCGTGGCCCCGGTGCGCGGCGGCGTGGACAGGTCCGACCGCGACCTCCCGGACATCTTCGAGAGCCAGGCGCTGTTCCGGCCGTGGCGCGGCGTCTCCTCAGACCGGTCCGGGGTGACGTCCCCGGAGACCAGCGTGCCCGGCGACGACGGGGAGCGCCGGTTCGTCGACGGCAAGCTCGTGTTTCTCTCGTCACCGCCGCTCGCGCCGCAGCCGTCGTCCTGGCGGGGCAGCAGCGTGTCCAGCTCGTCGGCCTGGTCGACCGGGGCCGGCTCCAGGGTGCTGCTCTGCCTGTCGCCGTCACAACGCCGGTGTTTCCGCGACCGGGCGCCCACGCCCAAGGAGTGCGCCGGCCTGCTCGACCTGCACCAGAAGTTCGTGCAGCGACGCGCCTACCACGAGACGCCGCCGCCGCCGCCGAGGACGCACTCGTCCAGGATGCACCGGCAGCAGGCCGTGACGGCGCGCTGGATTCAAAGCCAGCCGCTGGGGCCGGCGGCGCTGGCGCCCCCCGACCAGGGCCGCCCGGCTCCCCCGGGGCCACTTGGCAGCCCGCGAAAGGTCAGGAACGCGGAGGACCACGACGCCGAGCTGCTGCTGGGGCTGCTCGAGGCGGCCGACGGCAGTCCTCGTGCTCGCGGCGCCGGCGACGCACACATGCCCACGTACGTCCTGGACGCGGGCGGCAAGCACCGGTATGAGTTCGACTCGGACTGCCTGACGCGCTGCGTGAGCGAAGTCCGGAGCGAGGCGCGCACCTTCTCGTCCATCCTCAAGGACAAGCTGTTCTGGAAGCTGAGCAGCCTCTCGGACCAGGGCGCGCCGCCGCGGCACACGCCGCCCCGACCCTCGCCGTCGAGGGTGCGCCGCGCGTCCGCGTCCCATGGCGGCGACGGCCGGGAGCGGACGCCCGCCGCGACGCCGGCCTCGACGCCGGGCCCGACGCCTACCGCGACGCCGACGCCCAGCGACGCCCGGAGCGAGTACGAGGACCTGGGCCCGGACAGCCCCTACTGGCAGGCGCGCACCGCCAAGCCCGAGACCCCACACCAGGGCCATGACCACCACCCGGGCTCGGCCAGCATGAGCAGGGCGTCCTCCGTGCCGCACCTGGTCCAGGACGACGAGCAGCGGCGCCAGCAGATGTACAACGAGTACATGATGCAGGTCGCGGAGCGCCAGCGGCGCCGCCAGCAGAAGGTCATCAAGATCTCGGACCCCGAGTCCGTAACGGGCCCCCGCGCCAAGCGCGCCAACGTCGACCTGGACACGCAGCACCACCACGCTCACCACCATCACCAGGACGTGCTGCGGGGCGCGGCGCCCAGGTGGGTACTCGGCGACCCGGGCGTCCGCGGCCCCGCGCCGGCGGCCCCCAGGACTCATCCCCGCTCCTCCGCAGGTGCGAGCCCCAGGACATTCTGTCGCAGCTGCAGCGCCGCGCCGCCGAGAAGAACTGCGTCGTGATCAAGGACGCTGGCGATCGAGAGCACGCCGCCGTGACGGTCGTGGAGCACCTGCCCAAGCACCTCCAGGAGTTCCTGGCGTTCGCTCGAGAGGGTGAAGGAGGGGGAGATGAGGGCGGTGAGTGGACACAGGAGCGCCACCGGCCGCCGCCCGACGCCGCCCGCCCGCGGCCCTCTGCGGCGCACCGGCATTTGAAGCCCGAGCCCTTTGTCGGTCCTCGAGGCCTCCGCCGCCCTCCCCTCGGCCGAAAGGGCAGCGGGCTGGCGGTCGGCGCGGCCAACGCGAGCTTCCTCCGTTTTAGCGTGGTGTGTGCGAGTGTGTCGTGTGTTAGCTAGAGCACTTTACTATTCTCTCTCTCTCTCACTCATTCTCTCTCACTCATTCTCTCTCTCTCTCTCTCTCTCTCTCTCTCTCTCTCTCCTCTCTCTCCCGGCCCCCCTCTCCCTCCCTCTCCCTCGCCCTATCTCTCTCCCCCCTTCTCTCCCTCCCCCCCTTCTCTCCCTCTCTCGTAACCGCGCCCGTGTTTTAGTTGCCATCCTCTTGTTTTATTTCTGTTGTACAAACTAACGCGTGTAGCGGCGAGTCTAACTCTTGGCTAGTGTCGTAATAATGAACAAACTGTGTGTGTGTGTGTGTGTGGCCTTTGGATGACGTGGCATGTCTCTTAGTGTCCCGGAAACGTGTGACCATTTTGTGACACATTTCGTGGCATGCCTCTTCTTATTGTATCGGAAACGTGTAACCATAATTTTGTGACACATTTTGTGGCATGCGTTCCCTCTGAACGTTGGACTTGCCAGCGCAGGGCAGATATTGCCCTCGCGCAACGGACAATCAGCAGTTGTTGTGGTATACTCTAAACTTCTCAAGGGAGAATTTTGTTTTCCTAAAAGAAATTCATGTCAAATGTCAGTTTCCAAAACCAAACAAAAATTCTGAGTTTCTACACTGTCAAACCTCAACCGTGGGACGTTTCACACCAGTGAAGCGACTTTTTACCGCGAGAAGCAGGGGGTTGCGAGGGGTGCCTCCCTGTTCCCGCTTTCATATCCCGGCTACATTTCCTCGTTCCCGCTGTATTAATTTCACAAATGGGAGATCGTCCGCCGATTTTCCGGGTAGCTGCGCTGCCTGGCGGTGCTTATCGTATGGTTTGTAGAGAGTCCATCAGAAATGATGAAATCGACGTCGATTCCAACTCTCAAAGGCACCGTGACGTTCCGCGTGGTATGTGAAATCCATTTTTCAGATCGTTTGAATGGGAACGGGGCATAACGTGGCAGGGAGCTGAAGTGTGTTGGCGGTACCGGAAGGGGACCGAGAGGGGGTCGGAAGCCCTGGAAAGTATCCGGAAAATTTCCGAAAAAACGGAAAATTTTCGGGGAAAATTGGAAATTTCTCAGACTTTGGAAAGTTTTCCGTTGTTCTCCGGAAATGTTCTGATTTTTACTGTGGAAATTTTACGAAAATTTTTCGAAATTTGCAACTCTAATGCCCGGCTTTTATTAGCTGAAAGACGAACGGTACATATAGGATATAGGCCTAGAGGAATTCACAAGAAGTTCGGCTAAAGAGGGCGCAAAACTCACCACAAGTACTCCACACCACACCCGAGTCCACACCCCTTCACCCAGCGCGGGCACTCCTAGGGATTTTACAGTGCGATATTTTTCCGAATAAATTGGACACTTTTACAAAAAAAAATCGGTAAAAATTGAAATTGAACCGAAATAATTTTTTAAAATATGAAACTTTTTAGGGAAAAATAACGAGAAACTTTTTCTTTAAAAAATCTTGAAAAATTTTATCAACAGACTTTCATTGGAAAATAAAAATCCCCAGTCACTGCTTGTGGGAAAGAAAAGAGGAGCGGAGCCTTATCCTACTGTTTGCTGTTTACGCACAGCCCCCTGCTGACATGAGAGTGACCGCATTCTGCACCCCGTGTCCTGTGTGGTCTGGCAAGCAGGGGTAGTTTCAGAGACGGACGCACGACCTAGGACACGGCGAGGAGTGATTGGGGGTAAAGAGAATGAAGCATTGAGATGAGTCAGACTCTGCGACGCGCTGGTCGCGTCGTCTTGGCGGCCGCGCCGGGTCGCCACCAGACGGTCGGCGCGGAGCCCTCGCCCCCGCCCTCGCCCC